TTGAAACCAGAAAAATTTAAAACAAGAGTCACAAAACTGGGTGTTTTATATGCTTTGCATGCCATTATTACAAACATTCCCCCAAAATTTTGAATTCAAACAATTAATTTCTCTTGAAAATATCAAAATTACTGACACAGCATTATTTTGGAACACTGTTTGAAATGTGTTATAAACAAAATTGTGGTAAAAATGCTTGGTAAAAATCAAAACAGAACTCAGTTAACTACCATAAACAAGAATTTAGATATATTGGCTCAAACTCTCTCTTATTTTAGCATTTTAATTGTTTGCCCCCCAATAGACACGTTCCCTTTCTTTGACTGAATTAAGATTACGATGCCCCTTTTAGTGTTATTTATAATCTCTATGGTGGTGTCGCCATATTTTCTTTCAAAATCAATCCACACCATTTTATATGTACATGTATAAAGTTCCATGTGAAAGCATTCAAAGCAACGTACTGCACTTTGTCTTTGATGATTTAGTCTTTATAAACAAACGTTTACCAACTCTACTAGCAGAATCATGACAAAATACAGTTTCGCAAAATACAGTTTCGCAAAATACAGTTTCGCAAAATGCAGTTTCGCAAAATGCAGTTTCGCAAACTACAGTTTCGCAAAATACAGTTTCGCAAAATACAGTTTCGCAAAATGCAGTTTCGCAAACTACAGTTTCGCAAAATACAGTTTCGCAAAATACAGTTTCGCAAAATACAGTTTCGCAAAGTTTCGTTTCGCAAAATACAGTAAGCCATAACGAATCAACTTTTACATTTTTTAGAATGGCAGGACAAGTAAACTTTAACAAGCCAACTGGAGGAACGAGGAATCGTGTTGAAGAAATTTCAGTATCTGCAGAGAGTTCGTTCAAAAAGCACGACGAAATATTACACGAAATTCAGGAACAAAATCTGGAGAGAACAATCAGCAACGAATTGACCTCGAATCCTAATCAAAATCTTCCTGCAGATGATGGCATATTGATTTTGAAGAATTTATCGAATCCAAAAGAAGAGTTCTGTATAGATTTGTCAGATTCCAGCGCGCCAGTCGTCAAAAGAAAATCTATGATTTCTCTTGGAGAATTTTTTGAAGAAACAATTTTACCAAAGGAGGAAATGTATGGTATTGAGGATCACGGGGTTACGCTTGATTTTGAATGCTGAAGAGTTAAATCGAAAATGTTAATAAGTAAATCTTTTTTATACTATAACGCCAAGTTCATTGCAAAAAAATTCTTGATCTTGAAATGTGTCTAGAAAATCGCCCATTAAACTGTCGGGAGGGTAGATAGGAATTACATTATTAGAATGTATATATGTTATATAAACTTTAGAAATGATATATAAAGAATTCATACTCCAGGAAACACTATCCTTATTTGGACGGTGGTACCTGGGGCGTAGCTAGCCTCAAACGGGTGGAGGGGATTGGGGGGGGGGGGCGGGACCCTCCCCCCTGAGGGTTGCTATAGGAACGTTTTTCGTTGTTTGCAGTGTGACACCACACAAATCTTCTCGCATGTGTCTGAGGTTTCAACCTTGACCAGACCCGAACAGAATAGAAACCTGCTCCCAGGCTATTCAGGGAAGGTCTAATGCTCTATCAATCCAGTGACATTCTAAGGTCAGCTCGCCACAAAATCGGAGACAATGTGCCCTTGCATAAATTCGTACAGCGGCGAGTGAAGTACTTCATACACTTCTCAGTATAAAGTTTCAACAAATTTCAAAATGGCTACCTGGATAGTTGAAATTTCGTCCACATTATTTTTGTATTTCGGAGAGAATATGGCTACAAATTTGACTAGGAATGAAAATTGGGGCAGAAAGAAAAAGTCACAAATGTATAGTACAAGGTCGCTACACGCTATCATATATTATGTTACATTGTAAGTATTTTTAAATACTTTAAATACAAATTTAAAAATTTGTAATGTATTGGTTTAGTGCGGTTGATCGACAAATAGATTTCGTCCACCGATTGCTACAACCCGCCCCCCCTTGTCCTGATTATTTTGTACTTGTGGATTCAACTTCTCCCCACCCATCACGGAACAAGTCGGCGATCGGTGGACGAAATCTATATTTTATCGACGTCCCCTTATAATCCTAGCTTGTATAAAATTGTTGATATAGAACTAGTCATTGAATTTTGGATTTTGAACGTGTACAGGTGTACTTTGATGTAATTAGTGGATATTCCGCGTAGTATTATGGGCAAACAATTAAAGCTTTTAAATATTAGTTCAGTGAAAATGCTTAAATGCTTAGGTGCATGAAGAATTAATTCTTGTTATCAAATAATTATTTATAATTATTAAGTTTAATAGTCGCTGCTCCACGACTGGCATCAGGGGCATGCCGAGCGGGGGGGTGACACCCCAGTTTTTTGAAAATTGTTGGTAAAGTTTGAAAATGGTCGGGAAATTTATACAATCGACGGTAAATTGACGTATGCCGACTAAAACATTCGGTAAAATTATGCACTTGCGAAATTTTTAAGATGCAGTTGTCACTACATGGTTCTAAAATACAACCCCCCCCCCCCGCTCGTCAGGATTTTAGGGGGGGGGGGGAAATTTCGTCAGTAAGTTTAGGGAAATACACCCCCCGAACGTAATGGTCTTGGTATGCACCTGACTGGCATGACTGTCTTTGTTATGATTGGGGTTTGTCTGTGAATATTAATGATATGCATATTATCATTCTACGTGTACAGAATTGTATGTGTGTTGCCCCTAAATCGAAAATAGCGCGCTGTACCACACACTGTCAGTCAATGAGGAATATTGTATATTGTGTCAAATTTCATGATGAAAGGAGGCGGGGACGTCGCTACATGGGGGTGTGAGGGGTGTAACACCCCCAATAATTAAAATGTTGGTAAAAGTTGCCCGTCCGGTGCTTTGAGGGTTTGGTTTTTCAGGCTCGATTGTTTTCAGGCTCGATTGTTTTCAGGCTATGGATTTTCAGGCTTGCTTTTGATATGACAAATACAAAGGGAATAAACAGTGGCGAAGCCAGCCCAATTTGGTCATGCTATGCAAATTTTAAATCATCATTATTCATTTCTTTAGAAATTGATTGTTTTCATGGTCTATAAACAGGGAAATATTTGCATAGCATGACCGAATAGTCGGGCTGGCTTCGCCACTGGGAATACACTTATGTTATAATTTGGCCATTCTGTTTTAGAGTCAATCTCTGTGTCCTCCAGTACTCCAGTTAGCAAAGCACAACTGTACAGCAAAGTGTAGTTCTCTTTTCAATTTAGTTTTCCAGTTCCTCTGAGTGAAAACGTTTTCCGACCACCAGGCTAGTGAGAATCTACCACAATGGTAAACCACTACCTACCCTGAGAACCAAGACCACTCTTATCTCAGTGTAGGACGTGTCTTTCAAGACCACTAGTCCACTATACCTATACTCAGAACCAGCAGTTTGAAGTTTAGGCTAGTGAGAATCTACCACAAAGGACGTGTATTTCATGACCACTACCTACACTGAGAACCAACAGTTTGACGTTTAGACTAGTGAGAATCTACCACAAAGGACGTGTATTTCAAGACCACTACCTACACTGAGAACCAACAGTTTGAAGTTTAGACTAGTGATAATCTACCACAAAGGACGTGTATTTCAAGACCACTGCCTATACTGAGAACCAACAGTTTGAAATTTAGACTAGTGAGAATCTACCACAAAGGACGTGTATTTCAAGACCACTACCTACACTGAGAACCAACAGTTTGAAGTTTAGACTAGTGAGAATCTACCACAAAGGATGTGTATTTCAAGACCACTACCTACACTGAGAACCAACAGTTTGAAGTTTAGACTAGTGAGAATCTACCACAAAGGACGTGTATAAGTATTTCAAGACCAATACCTACACTGAGAACAAACAGTTTGAAGTTTAGACCAGTAAGAATTTATATAGCACACACTGACTGATAAACAGCTAGTTTATACACGCAGCGCAAAAATTCTCTAAATAAAATGAAAGGTATATCGACAGATCTATTTTGAAACATGAAACTGTATATGTTCATGATTATTCATCGAATTCTCCCAATCAGATTACAGCATTTGCATAAAAAGCACTGATCTGTAACAGATTGTCAGATTTCGCAATTGTTTTCCCAGAACAAACTGCAGTGCTTTCGTTTACAAAAGACGAGCTATAAAATATAAAGTGAGAATCATTCCTAGCGCATTTGCAATTTTATAACATGAGCACCGACGATTTATTGACAAAATTCGATGAAATGGTGAAACGCTTTAGAGAAGAGTTCAATGAAATTATCGAAGGGGAACGTGCCAAAATGAAGGCGGAAGTAGAAGCGTATAACGCGGAGAAGCAGAAAATGAAACCGTTCGAAGTTAGCGACGATGATATAATAGATCTGAACGTCGGAGGACAGAAATTGACTACCACAAGATCTACTCTGTGTCAGGTAGAAGGTTCGTTGCTTGCCTCCATGTTCAGTGGACGCTGGGAAGATGGTCTCAAACGTGATAAAGATGGCGCCATCTTCTTCGACTTCGACCCACAGTATTTTGTGATAATTTTGGCTTATCTTCGCGCGAGGAAAATTGCGACTCCAGAGAATCCCGTACCTGCGCCGAAAGTTCCTGAAGAGCAAGCAAAACATTTCAATGATCTTGTTCAGTATCTCGGTTTGAACGAAGAGATCGTCCCCAAGGCTGAGATTTCGCCAAGCGAGAAATTCAATTTACACGGCGCTGGAGTCGCTCTTCAGGAAGGCGGAAAAGTTGGCTGTCATAATGTTTCAAATGCAAGTTATGACTATGTTCTCGGAGAAAATGTCTACCAACATGGGATTGTGAATCTCAAGTTAAAGTTGGAATCTTTGAAAAACAACCAGTGGATGTTTATTGGTATATTGAAAGGAGATGATATTCCAGTATCTCCAACGAATAACAATTCCCGTGGATGGTCTGGTTCCTATGGATGGGTACTTGGGTCCAATGGTGGTCGAGTGTGGGAAAATGGGTCACCGACGATAGACAATACCTTAAAGCAACTTTCTAAACAAGGTGATACGGTTGAGTTGGTCTTAGACTGCGATGCAGGGAAGCTGTCATTACATTTGCCCACTGGTCACCAATTTCACATCGTAATACCAAAGTCCAAATCCTGGAGACTGAATGTAACTTTCTTTCGCGAGAATGACAAAATCCGCATTGTGGACGGTTAACGAACAACAACACTATTCATGAAATCAACTATAAGGCGATAATAATTAAAAGTAAAAAGTAAACACATATACTGACAAAATGCTCATTTGGTTTCATATACTTATAAAATAATATGTGCGTTTGTAATACAGCTGATATCACTTGTGTAGCCGGGGGGGGGGGGGGGG